TGTGCAAGACATTTAAAAAAGTATCAAGTAATCACATATCCATAGCGGAGTTTTGATTCACTTACAGGTATCGCTTAGAGCATTTTTCAGGCGATTGCAAGTTATTTTGTCTATGCCAATGAATATCGGCGGGAGGACTAATGCGATTCTTGGTCGGACTGTTCACCTACGGCTGTGTGATGGAGTAGTTGAGGATATTTTTGGGGTGATGACCATCGAATGTTCTGGTGTTCGTTAGGCTTGAGGGTTATTTAGGGCTGGGGTATTTTAGGAGGATAGTTGCTCTCTTGGGCCGTATTTTAGAAAGGCGTAAGGCTAAACTGGGTTGTATCTTAAGGAGGTAAAAAGCTGAATTAGGCGAGCAAGGAGTAGCCCGGTGGATACGTACACACGTACATTATTGATTGTTGCTCATCAATCTTTTTTGTGGTCCCAATTTGTCTCCAATTAAACATTACCAACTCTCATAAATATGTAAATTGAACCTAAACATTAATTATGAAGGTAGGAAAGGAGGCCATAAATATATTAAGAGCCGATTTGGTAATATCAAAATCGGCTAAATCAGCTTATTCTGCTGAAATTTATGAAGTTCCGATTGAGGTGGTTGGATTGACTGATTCTGCTGATTTATGGGGAAAAAAATTAAAATATAATTTATTGGTAAAATAAAGAAAAAAATATACAAAAAATAGCTAAAATGATCTTCTACAATAACTTCAGTCAATATAGTCAGAAAAGTAACTTCAACCTTACTTATTCTTATTATTACACAATTCAGAGCGTGAAATCAAAAGTTACGTGTTTGATGAAAAAAGTGACTGATAAGCCGGAAAACAGGGTTACCAAACGGGCCCTCAATTTATCAGAATATTAATAATACGTTTTCAAAAATGAATGACAAAAATTAAATATTTCATCTGTCTCATTTTACATGTCTGACTTTCTTTTTTAGGTTATCCCAAAATAAGTGTCACATTTTCATTTTTGAAAAGAAATATGTGAATCACATCCTTTCACTTTATTTTATTCAAATCTAAACCACAACTTTTACTTTTTCAATTATTTTATTAAAAATTGTGTCGAACTAAAGTAGAACACATAAAATGAGATAGATGTGATATAACATTTCCTATTTTATTTCCTAGGCTTTTGGGGACAATGGTGTTGTATATCTTGGGTAGTTGGATTACACCGTTTTTGAAATTGTTGCTTTTGGAGAAAATTGTGATCGTAAATGTTAATTTAATTTGTTTTAAATAAAAACTTTGATTTAGTGTTATAATTTTGGGTAACCATGTTTCAGACTAAAGAGAAATATCCAACAGAATTAGTGGGGCTACAAAAATTTGGGTACTATTCCCGCAATCAATATATATATATATAAGAGGAATTTTTTAAGAGCATACGGTGTGCCACATAATCCTGCCATGTCATCATATATAATAATTATTAATTACTTTTTATGCTTTTTATTTTTTATTACATTCTATTTTTATTGCATATTGATATGGAAACAAAATATTGTACGATTCTATAGAATCCACCTTATTTATACCACGTAACTTTTTGAGAACCTCTACTTACTCCGTATTAATTTGTATGACACGGATTCAACATCCTTTTTATATTTGTAATGAAAAATAAAGTAGATTGAAAATTTATTTGTAAGAACTAAATTTTAGATGATGAAGTACGTCATTCATAAAATTTAGTTACAGTAGATTTAATTCATAATTTGTATTAATTTGTATGACACGGTTCAGCCATCCCTTTTTCATAATTTCGAAGATTCCGTCAATTTAGCCCAATCAGTTAGATTTAATTTATTACAGTAGAGCCAGACAATTCAACTCATTTTAGTATTATCAAACTGCTTTATATGAGACTGAGTTTATTTTGCTTTTACATCACATTAAATTATACTACGTATATGATTTCAAAAATATCAAATTTACAATTAGCTAAATTATGTACTGCCCGTGCATCGCACGGGCTTGAAAGCTAGTCATTGATAAATTGAGAAGAAAAATAATTTAATTACCCCAAACACTAATGGAGTGTGAGATAATCACCCGAAACTTGCATATGTAATATACATACCCCGAACTTTATATAAAAATTAATTTTTGCACCATGATTGAATGTTTTCTTTATAAATATAAATTTGTTGGAATAATTACATAATTTAAAATACTATAAGCTTTGTCAGGATGTAGTTAACATTTTAAATTTTCATTTTTGAAATAAATAATATTACATCCAGTAAAATTTATATTTAGTTGCATTCTCATAAAAGTTTTGTGTATTTTAATTTATGTATTTAACAGGTGTGGGATGAGAGGTGTTTATTCGCAGACATTCATTATCATCTTTATATGTTATCTTGCCATTCCAAATCTTAATGTGATAATATTTAAACATGTCTATAAATAAAAGTTAAGGACAACCATTGCGTGTTGATCTATTGTTGAAAAAACATGTATTTAGTCACGGTCAACTTCACTAGTCGTATCAAAAGTAATTACAATACACTATACTTTTTTTGAAGGACAATAGACAATATACTTAGGAGGTCACATTTTCATAAACATTCTTTATTTTAGTCATAATTATGTAAATGTTTCAAAAAATTGTATGCAAATATACCTAAATTTGTCCTCTACAATAGTAGACTGATCTATATGAATATTTTACCATTAATTTGTATATAGTATTTATTTACATATAGTTTAAGAAAGACATATCACACTTTCACATATCTGCACCCCCCTGATTTGCATGTTTACACAAGCAATTCGTTTTTTTTAAAGATACACAAGCAATTCGTTAAAAATATGCAATTCGTATAAATATGAAGTCACCCCATTACTTGGTCATTATAAACAGTTTACATTCAATGAATATGCATAAACCTTTGGAAAAAAAACTTCTCTGCCAAATCGTTTATACATCATGTGACTATCACTGTACCTGAAGATCTATTGATACGCATAAATGAAGATCCTATAGCTGCTTTAGTTGAAAGTATATTCCCCGAGTATGTTAAAAATGCAGATGATATAAATTGTTTGCGTGACCGTACCATTTTAGCACCCACGCTTGCCGTTGTTGAACCTGTTAATGCGTATATGACAGCTCTAAATGTTGGTCAGGTTTCAAGAACCTATCTTAGTTCAGATAGCGTTTCTAAGGTAGATTGTACAACCGATATGATGACAGAACTGCACACACCGGAGTTCTTGAATAGTATCAATTATCTGGTGTACCGAATCATGAGTTAACTTTAAAGGTCGAAACTCTGGTAATGCTTTTGTGTAATATTGATCATTCAATGGAGTTGTGTAACGGAACTCGCCTGATTCTAACGAGGCTTGGTGATTATGGTTTGGAGGGAAAGATTTTAACCAATGTGAGTGTAGGGGTGGACCGGTTCCGGTTCGGGCCCGGTTCGGGCCTGGGCTCGGCCGGGCCTCGGTTCAGAAAAAGGAGGCCCGAGCCCGAACCGGTGGTGGGCGGTTCCGGTTCCGGGCCAGAACCGGGCCGGGCCACCCGGAATGTTTTTTTTTTCTTCTTCTTCTCTTATTTAACCCCCTACCCCTCCCCCTCCACCCCAAACCACCCCAAACCACCTCAAATGGCCCAAAATACCTAATCCAACCCAAAAATTAAAAAAATTTCAAAAAAAAAAAAAAATTAAATTCCGGCCCGAACCGGGCCCGGCCCGGCCGGGCCGGTTCACTAAACTGGAGGCCCGGGCCCGGACCGGTATACCACCGGGCCGGGAGGCCCGAACCGGAACCGAACCGGTTTACCGGGCCGGTCCGGGCCCGCACAGTAGCGGGCCGGTCCGGGCCCGCACAGTAGCGGGCCGGTCCGGTTCCGGGCCGGTTGGCCCGGACCGAGTCCATCCCTATGTGAGTGCTAACGAAAAAGTAATAATTCCTAGATTGTCATTAACCCCATCCGATGTCAGCTTGCCTTTCAAATTTCAGAGGCGGCAATATCGTGTTATGACTTCATATGCTATGACTATAAATAAAAGTCAAGGTCAATCTTTGTCCCGTGTTGGGTTGTTGTTGAAAAACTCGGTTTTTACTCACGGACAGTTGTATGTTGCAGTATCAAGGGTTACCGATCGTTGTGGTTTGAAAATTCTAATTTTTGATGAAAATGAAGGAACCACTGACAAGACTCAAAATGTTGTATTCAAAGAAGTGTTCAACAATGTTTAGGGTTACAATGTTATGGTTTCTACTTATTTGTTGGATGTTTTTGGTCTTTTGAGTAATGCTTAGTCCTCTATTTTTAACAATAATATTATAATTGTGTTTTGTTTATTGATTTGAGCTACATCTATATTGCATGGAGATAGACGTTGTCATCAATTGATAGTGTAATTTTAATAGTTAGCCCAAATAAATTTGAAAGAAAAATTCTCCGACCGTGCATCGCACGGGTGAGTTACTAGTTTACAAATAAAAAACAAAACAAAAGTTTGGAACCAATTTGCTTCCCAGGGTTTGCTTTTCCCCTTATAAACAAACCGAGAGGACTACATTGCAGGCATGACCGGGCCCCGGGCTGGGAATGGGCGGGGGTTTTGGGATAAAGGCCCAAATACCGGGCCGAGCCCGAGTCAGGTTATTTTTTTTTATTAGTCTTTTTTAATTTATTCCTAGACCCCCCCCAAACCATGCCAAAACACCTAGCCCAACCTAGCAACAGCCCAATGCCAAAAAAAATTTGAAAAAAATGGCCTGAACTGGGCCCAGACCACTAAAATCAGGGCCCATAGCCCACCCATAAACAGCCTATCCGGGCCCCCGGTACCACCAGGCCGGGTCGGGCCTGCATGGTACTAGGCCAGGCCGACCCGTCCCAACCCATCCCTACTATATTGTACTTAAATATTTCATTCTCTGAAAGAAAACGATCACATAGGTTTGTACTTTGTAGTAACAAACCACAAAGGTTTGTAGTAATAAACCACAACAGGTCAACCGTCAACCAGTGATTTAAAGGATTTGGTATTCAACACATCACATAAAAGACCGGAGAATTGAAGAAAAAAGATAGTTCAACTCACAATGAGACCAGAACCGCCTATCCACCATCACAGACAAGTGCGTGATTTCCATTGTGCACAATTAATTTACTGTCATTTCATACTACAAAGCACATAACATAATTGCAAACACTATGATCTGCAGAGTTCCCCCGTATAATTTTTCTACTTCATGCAACCATGAGTGGTGACTGGCGAGGAAGGGATGGGATTTCGCAAGTGATAAAGAAACTACTTTGACACAAATAAGATACAGAACATGGATCAAGAACTTGCTCCACAACCTATCAGCTTCCTAATGCACAACAACAGCAACAACTTGATCGTTGTGATAAAGTTTCCAAATGTCAGACATCATCATTATACAGAAAAGGTTTCCCACACCATGCCCACTAGTATACTGATGTTGATCACAGCTTTAAAGCACTTTAGCCTCCACTGCCACCGCTACCACCCATCGGGTTGGGTTCTCCCATTCCTCTAGACGCCAAAGCAAGAACTTCTGGTGACATCTCCCAGCTCCCGCTTTTCCTTCCCCAACTTGACCGCCGTGGATGATGCATCGCTGCTCGGTCACCTTCATCAACCGTTGTTCTTATCTCCTTGATGTCGTTGTTGTCACTTAGTTGACCACCACCTTCGTGGGGCCCAACATCACCACCACCCCAAACTGCTTTCCTTCCCATCTCTATGTCGTCCACAGCCTTGCCCATATTTGGACTCACAAACCCCCCCACAGAGGTGTGTCGGGCAGGTATTGCAGGATCCCTAGGTACCTTTGCCCTGAAATCGTTTTTTGATGGAGGGACAGCAGTAAAAAATATCTCCATGAAGTTCTGCACCACTCCTTTGTTGTATGGGTTCGCTCGCCTGTCGTACCGGTATCTGAAGTTCTCATATGTTGTCTGCACAATAAATTCAGTGTTGATGTTCTGAGGGTGAGAAGTCACGTATTGTTTGGAAATGCTTTTGATTTTTGTTCTTTTCTAAAGAGCTTGTTTGGGAGACCAAAATATTCTAGTTAATGAAATGTTCGAAGTTCAACATCAATAAATCAAATTATAGATATTTGATCGGACCCATTTTATTTTAACATTTCTACTACTCCAAATATAAAGATTAAAATTCTAAATATATTTAAATGATATCATATTTGTTTGTTTCCGTATTTTCCATGGTCAAGCTAAACTAAACATTAATAATATTTTCATTACGAACCATTTTCCTTTCCTTGCTGTTCTCTGGGTCCTAAACGCGCAAAATGCGTTATTGTACAATGTTTTTCTGGGGTTTTCACTAATTTTACTCAAATGTTGGTTTGGACAAAAAAGAGACCATTTTTAGTATAAAAGGTGACTAAATAAATCCTGAAAACGGAAACTCATAAAAGCACGAGACGATATTACCAAACTTGCAATGGAGCCAAAGATTCATTATTTTTTGGCTTGAGAATATGATGGAATAAAGCAAAATGGCTCACCAAACTGTCTGCTCTTCTTTGTTATGAAGCAGCAGTCAGTCCATGCAATTTTGGACGTGATTTTCATTATGGGTCATCCGGAAACAGTCTCTCTGTGCTTTAGTACAGAGGTAAGATTGCGTACATCTGACCCCCCTTACCCCACCGTAGGTGGAAGTCTTTGCGGCACTGGGGTAAATGATGATTGATATATATCCTCTCAAAGCCCGAGTGACATCCCCACTGAGGCACTGACACCACTGAAAGCCTACATCCCGCTCAGTGACATCACCGGGTGACACCCAGAAGGCCTCACCCTCCAGTGACACTCCAGAAAGCCTCAGTGACCCACGGAAACTCATGTGCCCCAATGACTCGCTGACACCCTACAGTGACCAAAACATCAGTGACTCAACACCTCAATGAGCCCACCCCTGCGACCCAATGAACAATCGCCCAGCCGCCCACCTGACTTCTTATCGCCGCTAGTGACCCTCAGTAGTTGACCACTTGACCCGACGCGGAAATCGCCACCCTATGCCCTTGTAACCCGGCCACCATCCTAACGCCACCCAGTTGGCCCGCCGTCGCCACCACTTTCCCCGCAATTGCTCCTCACTCCCCCAACCCCCTGCCCCGTCGCAGCCCGAAGTCCCTCGCACCTTCCCCTTCCCCACCTTTTTCCCTAACCCTCAATCCCAATCCTACGCGCCGCACCACCACCATCATGAAACCCTAACTGCTGTGTAACCCTAGCTGTCGCCCTCCTGTTATCCCAGCCACCGTCCAAGTTTGTATTTTAAGTCTAAAAGTTAATGTTTAAAAATTTATAGGTCTTTGGATCGGCTTATGTTTTACGGAGTAATATTTTTATTAGGGGTGCTTAGAATGTAGTTTATCTGTCGCAAACTGTTACTAATACAAAGAGTACTTCTGTAAAGTTTTTTCCTCATGGAATTTTGTAAGTTGTTGCAAACATGAATTTGAAGTTTTTATTGTTGGGAAAATAAGTTTAAATAATTCGAACTATCTTCTAAGAATAATATGTACTTTGGAAATAAATTTTAAAAATACCAACTATTTGATATGAAACAAAAGTGATGGAGCATCTTTTTATTAAAAATCCAATAATTTTTTTTATTTGAGGCAAAATATCCAATCATTTAACTTATCAAAAAATCATTGAAAAATATCAAATCAGTGAACCTATTTCTAAATACGGAGTATCATTTATTTGATGGTTTGATATGACTTTTGATGTCTTAACTGACTGAATTTCATGTCAAAAAGTGGCTTCGTATTATTTTTGTTATGTATACACATTGTTTTCACTAGGGGTGTTTGGTAAATGGAGTTTTAGCGAAACATAGCAGTGTGACCCCTTTTTAGCGTTTTCAATAAGTAAATATGTTGAGTGGTAAACAGTTGTTCGGCCCTAGAGTTTTTGGACAGAACGGCTGAAATAGAAATGCTATAAATAGCAGTGTTTTGGAATAGTGTTTTGAAACATGGCATTACTTACTAATTGCTACGGGCCAAACAGCTAAATTATCAAACATTTTTTTGCAACTCGTTAAATTATTCCTCTAGTCAAACCACTTGACTGGATCTGCTATTAACAACCCGCTAACATAATCCGCTATCTGCTAACTTCGAAATGCAAAACACCCGCACTATTCACGAATAAATAGAGTTATGTACAAAACAGACATGTCAAGCATGTTGAGGGACAGGGCCAAGATTTAGTCATGGGGGGTCAAGACTCAAGAAGGAACACAAACAATAAAGAGAAAATTCTCTAAATAGGTCTAAAATAAAAATAAAGTTCATAAATAGGATTATCATTGTTTTATTATCAAAATAGGACTTATTCACTCCTATTTTTGCAAACTTTAATCAAATTATTTTTAATAGAACTAGATAAGATCTATTTGAGGAGTACAACATATTTTTTCATATTTTTAATCATATATACGGAGTGTGTATATTATTTCATGAGGAATGATCCTGTCAAAACTATCTGACATCATCAGCCGTTCAGCTGCCTATGTTTGAGGTGGTTCCAAGTGGATTTTCTTGATGAAATTTTGTGACATGTTCTTCATGATGTGTAGATTATTTACACCGAATTTCAGTTTAAAATTATATTGGCAAGTCAGTTAAATAAATTATTGAAAAACACTGCGTCAAAATATATATGAAAAACGCAGTGTTTCTCTGTAACTTATTTAATTGACTTTCCGGTTGGACATAATTTACACTTCATGCAATACATGTTCACAAAATTTTATCAAAAATTTATACCCGGAAGTATCTCAAATGGAGGCTTCTATCTGGTAATTCTGACCCAATCTTTTCTGATTATTTCATATCTAATACTAGTGCTAGTGGAAAAAATTTGGGGGGCCAAAGCCCTTCTACCCATATGCCTACCTCCGTCCCTGAGCATGTTTAATATTTTAAGAAACTGGACAAGAAGAATCAAACACCAAAAAGTGAAAACATAAAAACGAGAAACGTTACAAAACAAACCTTAATATAATCAGAACCACAATCCATAAATACTTCTTGAGGTTTAAGGAATTCTTTTTACCTGATTTGTACTGATGAGGTATAAATGGAACGCAGTAAGACCACCAACAAACCACACTGCAATAAAGGTGTAAGCTATTAGAACCATAGAAGCTGGGGTTTTGATCATTGCCTTCCATATTGTCGTCTCTTCAGCACCCATGATCCTTTTAATGTAGACCCAGCAGAAACCAAATACATATATACAAAGAAGCGTGGTGGAGCAGACAAACATGAAAAAGAACCGGTAGTTCCTCTGCACCCCCACAAAAAAAAACATCAAGTTTTCTGAAAGCAAATTCGTGGAGAAAATAGACTCGATTCTATTAATTCAAGAAAAAACAGGAGCTTGTTTGGTTAGGAGATTTTTTGTTTATTATTTTATATCTATTTTTTACTCTTAGACAATAAAAGTAACTACTAGAGAGTACTACCTCCATCCCTTCCCAAAAACATCTTGTTTTTACCAAGGTACAACTATTGAAAACCATCAATTCTAGTTTTTTTTTTGTTCGCTTGTCTAAATTTAACTTGTTTAAGGAGCGTTTTTCTTTTTTTGAAAAGCTACATTATACACACACACACACACACAATAGTAACTTCTCTTTATTCAGTTAGGATTTTTTTCTTGAGACAAAACAATTTTTTAAATAAGACTTTCTTTTTGGTGGACTGAGGTAGTACATGTTTAGTAAATTGATGCATTTCTACACAATTTTTTCCTACACTTTCTTTTCCACATCTAAATTTAATGATAAGTTACTAAAATAAATGTCACTCTACACCTTTGGCCCTACCCCCCCTGAAATACTCCTACTACCAAACAAGGGCAGCAACTACACAATTGATACAACAGTAACTGGTGCAAAATAAACATTACCAGCCCAATACACTGCCCGACCCAAGGGCAATGGTGGTCAAATCTTTCAACGCAATTGTTGCATATCGAACAATGAGAGCAGCGCGGTGGTCTGTAAAGCATGCAGGTGTCACAATATTTGACCTTCACAGTAATTCCATTAACCTCAACCTCTTTAATCCGAGGTAGGCGTAGCTGTGGGGTTTGTCCACCAACTTCAGTGGTGTTTCCATCAAAGTCTTTTGGTTCTGGAGGGTGTGCGTTACGTGGAACTATTCCCGGATCTCTTCCGGAAGTTAGTAGGAGAAGAACCAAAACCTGAAGGATTATATTGTTGATACAAGATAGATACTTAGATGATGACCATAAATTGAATAGATAGTAGGGTGGAAAACCAAACCTTGTATGAGAAGTGTAAGCAAATTGACAAAAATGCAAGTAATGAAGTAACATCACTGGAAAATAATATAAGAATCACCCAAGAAACCTAAAACCTAATCTGAAATTAGGCTAATGGATTCTACTTCTTCCATAGTATAGGATTATTGGCAGCATAGAATAAATTTTCCACATGTACGAATGAGTCCTATTGTAAAGTCATCAAAATTGCACGCCAATATGCTCCCCATGTAAAATGATGCTAGACGAACCCCAAGTCCAATAAACAATAAAAGGAACATTGTAGTCCGTAATGATTAAGCCATACATGTCTATGGACAACATTCTGCGGGGTGGGGGAGTATCGAATGCTAACACTTAAACACATGTTAGAGGATCTAGTCAGATATCCCACTTTTGAACTCATAACTTCAATTTTAAGGAATGTCAAGGTCCTCAAAATCTAAAGAGATGTACAGCACATTGAAGCACTTCACTTACCCTGTGTTTGAAAATACAAATATAGAGGGAGGTGAAGTACGTGATATAGGCGTATCTATAGTAATAATTATTATTATTATTATTATTGTTTATCACTATTTTTATCATTACTAATTAGGAGTAGTTCCACAGTGGTATAATTATTGTTATTTTCTTGTTTAGTTTTGGCCAGCTTCTTATTAGTCTCTAGCTTTACGTTTTCTATTATGATTAGAGCTCTTGTTGTAATATAGCAAAATAAAGGTCTCCAATATCGATTAATTAACTACCTTCGAAGAATTAATTATTGTGTGTCTTGACAAGGTCCAGAACTGATTACTTCTAGCTTAGGCAGTTAGGCTTACTTTGTTCTTCCTCTTTTCCCAATATTCCAAATGAGTTCCCAACCATGCTCAAACAATAGGTAGATGAGAGATGAAAGGAGAATAATTGGAGGGAGGTTTGTTTAGTTGAAAATATAAAGAATGGAAATGCACAGACAATATTTGAACTAAATTTGTTTCTTAATAAAAAAACATGTTGTTACCCTTACGACACCTATACATTATCATAAGAAATGAGGGTAAAATGGCAAAATACATGCATTACCCTTCATTTATCTTCTCTTATTTTCTACTGTATTTCTTTGCTATCAAACATAGGCTTAATTGCATCATCCTGTTCAAATGCACTGATATGGTTCCTTACTCAGCTAACATGTTCCAAGATTCACCATTGCATGCTTCCTCGTGTGGTGGTACTGTTTAAGGAGTATCTTATCTAGCAATCTTATATAGTAACAAGAAATAAAGGTAATCTGAGCTACGGTGAGGGCTTGCAGGAAATTCAACTTATCCGCGGGAAAATATATGGTCCATCTACCTTTTATACCGTTGACTTAATCGGTCAAAGGCAGTACAAAGAAATGAGAATAATCATATCGTATTCACCATTATTATAAACAGAAAGCATCTAAACGAGAGGAACACCATGTTATACAATAAAGTTAGTCACTTAATATCCGAAGAAAATGAAACAGGGAGTGGAATATCCTCACTTCTCATTTCGCAATCTTTGAAGACAGTAAATGAAAGTTAACAGCTACAGTTTTGTGCAAAAAAAAGGAAGAAGAAAGCACTTACATAAAATGTAAATACCACTGCCACAACCATAATTGAAATTCCCCAGTCATTAGGAAAATCATCAGAAAGCTTTCTAGCAACAAAGACACAGAAAACTGCAACAGGGGCTACAATAAGGAAAATGGTCAACACTAATGATCTGGCATCCGGTCCAAATATAAACCTTCCCTGAAGAAAAAATCTCTGCAAACAGAAAAACAAGTTAAAGAAAAAAGAAACTTCAGTAACGGAAATGCCATAACCTTATAAAACGAATAACTATAAATCAAGAGAAATATCAATTGGGATTTGGGACAAACAGATTGTAGGAAGTTGATGACAAAAATCAGCAAGAACACTTTTAATAGATAGTGGACAGCTGGATGTAGAAAAGGGACAAACATAACAACTTTGGATCAAATTTCTAATCACATATCCGGATCAAATGTGCTGACTTCAAGGTCTTTTTCTAATTTCAAGTGGAGAAACTGAAAAGTATAAGAAGGGGCTACATCCAAAGATTATTTATCCGCATAATACACCTTTTCGGATTGTAAATCCCTAAAGGTTTCTGGTTTTCAAATCTCACATGAATTTTCGAACAAATGTTCATTTTTTCAGGAAAATGGAAGTAGCTCTTCATATTTCCTTTTAGAAAGGTAACACAAGTAAACAGCAAAAAATCAAATTTCTAAAGACCTGGGAAACGGGACTAGAAAATATTCCAAAGAAACCTTGGCATCTCAGTATGATACTCAGTAAATACAGCTTGAGTCAAAGATCTATTAAAGGAAGGTCGAAGATCTATATAAACCCACCTTTGGCAATTATTTTCAACTCCGCTAGGCTCTTGGTTCATTTACAGAAATGACAGTATACAACTGATCCACATACAAATCCCTCGGGTTCAGGTCCGTTCCACTTTACACTGTATTCTAATGGCCTTGTGTTCAATGTGCTATCAGAGATGATATTAGACTATTTATTTTGCATAAGTACAGCTTAAATTTGAAGTTAATTAAATGCTTAGAACTCTAATCAGTACTCCACAGTAGCTCATGATTCAAAGTAAGTGATTGACAAGTAACATAAGAGAAAAGCTGTTCGGTAAAAAAGTTAGGTAGAGAGAAATTGATAAACAGTGACTAAGAAACATTGCAGAGGAAAAGAGTATCCTAGGAGAGCGAAACTGACATTGCTGCCTTTCCATGTCTGGTAAATTCGTAAATCGTCCGACCCGTTGGTGGATCCAGATGGTGGATCGGACCCTTTTGGAGGGGGGACGACGTACATCTCTCAGTTCCTCGCACTTCACCCAAATCTCCAGCGCAATTGACCGATAGTTAAATGCAATTACAGTCCTCCCACAGGCGAGAGCATACTGGAGGGTAAAAGGGGAGAGTGGGTAGAAGTAGTGGAACGTTCCGGCGATAAATTTACAGATCCCGGTGAACTGCCGCCGATGGACGTGAGGGGGGAGAAGTAAGATGGTGGATTCATCTTTTCTAGTGGCGAAACCTTTACAGGGTGGTCAAACCCACGTGGCCGCAAACTATTGGATAGGTGGGGCCCGTCTGGACTGCACGCCCAAGAAAATGACTTGTCCATATCTCCCTGTCGCCGCTTCTAATCGCTTAGGCCGTGTTTGGTTTACCAGATGAGCAGCTAGGGGATTTTGGTACATGTTTGTGTTTGGTCAAGAGGAAAATGAGATGAAAGCTCAAAGGAATATAAACTCGAAAAAAAAGTGTTAAATAATCGCTGATGTGGTAAATAATGGTGTCCAGGTCAGCATCATATTCACCCCCATTTATGCCTAAAAATATAAAAGCATTTTAATCGAAGTTCAGCCTTCGCAAGTTGTCTTTAGGGTTTAGGCAAAGGTGCCGCCATCGCCGGCAGAGAAAAGCCTAAGGCAGCGAAATCAGTCGAAATTGGCCAGCAATGCTGCTATGGATAACAAGAACACTCGTATTGTGTCCAGGCACATTCAATTGGCAGTGAGGAATGATGAACAACTGAGCAAATTTTTGGGGAATGTGACAATTGTCAATGGAGGGTGTTGCCAAACATCACCAGAATTTGCTATCCCAAAAAGGCAGACAGTGCAAAGGGCGAAATAGACTTTACATCTCAGGAGTTTTGTCCAATTTGAACCATGTACAATACCTATTCGTACACGTTTTTTGAAGCTACTGATATCCCATACAAGCAAATGGAATAGCTTTTTTGGGTTAATATTCTTGCTTCCATTGTTGATTGGTAGTTTTATGTACTCGAAAGGTTCTTTGCTGATGGAAAAATTTGGAGTTGCCTAGTGTTGTGGGTGCGGCGATGCGTTTCGTGGCTTCATTGAAGTGAGAATTAAAGTGCAGAGTGGTTTGTATGCATATAATGTTTAGCAAGTGGATCATGTGGATTATATCACTAATTTGTACTTAATTAACACTGTTTTTAATTCTCTTTACTTGTGAATCATAATTGCAATATAATGTACTCTTTAATCTGCTGCGTACAACTTAATGTACTCATTTGACACTTTCCTCACAAAACAAATATCCCAATATGCCCTTGTTATGGAAAGCTAAATAATTATAATGAATTCAATTATTATTAACTAAGTTCATAAATCATAATATATGAAAATTAAATGAAGCACTCGATAGTACTATGACTAACTTTTTTTTATATTGAAACTATTTATTAAAAATTTCTTATAAATATTAAAGGGTGGAAAATACTAATTGACGAGTATGTTGACATATACTCCAAGAGTATCAACATTTACGATGAATGATCTCTAGAATCCATTATGGTCGCTATGGTCAAGCTCAAAACCAGCTCTAAGATCATCGAGATAACCCAAAACTGCAACCGAAGTTGAGGTCGACCCTTGCCAAGGTTGGTGACAATCCCCATAAGAAATGAATTGTATTTAGCTTTTGATGATGTTGTACAAATTAGGAATTTGGAGTACACCTGTAGATAAAATGTCTTTAGATTTTTTTGTTGTAACTTTTAGAATAGTTGACAGCCAGAATAGCGTGCTTCTGCTTCACCTTGGGCAGAACCGCTAAGACTGAAGTGTTGGGAACACTTTAGTTCTTGAGCAAAACAACCTACAACAGAAGTGGTTCAGAACATCTCCCTTGCACAGAATTGCTCAAGGCTTTGATATTTCCGTTATACTGATGGGATATATCCTAACGACGGGGAGCCTCTTAACGAGAGAAGTATGAAGTTGTGCATTAAATGCACATTTAATGCTATCCATCCTTAAAAATATTTATGGCATGTGATTGACCGTGGTATCCAGAAGAATAATATTTAATACTCCCAAAATAATAAGTTGCCGAGAATATCTGAACTGACCGATCAAGTCTACAGGTCAAGCATTTGATGAAGTTGTCTTCTACACTCCAACAGGAAGACCACTCTTAGTATAAAAGATACACTTAGAATAACAGAACAGCTACAAACGAACTTTGAAATACAATGTACAAATTCTTAAGAGCAAAATACTTCATTCTACACAAGAATTCAAACAAGGCTTGAAAGATATATATTCAAATCCTTCATCCAACTCTCACTAGTTCATCCTTGTTCTTCGACCTCTCCGAAAGCTAAAGCTACACATCTTGTACCGAGTACGTTGGAGGAAAAATCTTTTGAATCTTTCAAAAGTATTCTTCATGCAAAAGACAGGTGCCAAAGTAACCAGAGTGAAGTGGGGATACTTCGAGCAAGCTTGGTGTAACACCTGTTAGGAGATTGGTGTAACGTACCTCGAAAGTACAGCAGTGGAAGGTTGAAATTTTCCCAAACAAATCTTCCCTGATTATGACAAAATAACGAATATAACAATAATAATAGATCTGAGATAAAACTTACAGATGCTCCAGCCTAGCGGTGATAATCCTTGACCTTAGGCATCCACATGATTTCTCCTTTTCGAAAGAACGGTTAGATCTCCCATAGAGAAAGACTAGGAAATCTCTTCGTAGGGAAATAAACTGATAATACTGAATCTAAAAACTAGTCACATAATTATGAAGGAGAACGATGTTTTTATACTAGTTCTAAACTAGATTTCCCAATCACAATGAAAGTCTTCCACGTTAATGTTTCTAGCCCAACGAGGACTAATAATTAAATAAAGATATAACATTAAATAATAATAATAATAATAATAATAATAATAAAAACTATCCGTACATAGTAAAGAGCAATGGGGGGCTGCCGCCACCCTCATTGTCTTAATGTACTTTTATTATTACTAATATTTATTTATCTTTTCTTGAATACACTTTAATTCTAAATTCCATTCAAGAAAAATATCTACTTTATTTAATTATAAATACATCTTAATTAAGTATAATAAATCTAATTTATCACACTTAATTAATTCTATCAAATAGAACAATCCCTCAACATGTTGAATTAAATATATTAATCTAATCAATAATTAATTCATCTTATTTTCAGTATTATGAATTAAATATTATTTAATCTCATTCATTTTCATTTACCCCAGTGCCGCAAAGGCTCCCACCTATGGTGGGGTAAGGGGGGTTGGATGTACGTAGTCTTACCCCTGTACTAAAGCACAGAGAGACTGTTTCCGGATGACCCATAGTGAAAATCACATCCAAAATTGCATGGACTGACTGTTGCTTCATAACAAAGAAGCGCAGACAGTTTAGTGAGCCATTTTGCTTTATTCCATCATATTCTCAAGACAAAAAATAATGAATCTTTAGTGATCCATTTTGCTTTATTCCATCATATTCTCAAGCCAAAAAAATAATGAATCTTTGGTTTAATTCCTTCTAACAATTCAACCGGAAGGTATAATCACTTGTTGTGTGACCCATAGGGCCTTATATATTAAGCACTAATCAAATTAAGGTCTTAGTAGAATCCCTAAACGATTTACCAGACAATCTTAATATATAAGGACATTTGTGAAGACTATATAAACTCCCTGTAATATATAACTCATGGTGATACGGTCCTTTCATTCAATAAACATTCAACTAAGTCTAGAACTTGATATTATGTCTATTCCAATAACTTAGTCTCTATCTCTCAATCTTTCTAGATGATCCATAATGATCATATTCGATATCCAAAATGAATATATCTTTGCATTGGCCAATGCCTTTATGATCCATCTGATGGAGTATATGGCCCAGGAACCCCCGGTCCATAGACTCCTACTTCTCCTACACAAGTCCATTGAGCCCAGAGAACAACTCAGGCCCAAATGCAACGGCCCAAGCCTCAAAATAGCCCAGAATACACACTGGGGTGCCTTCGACCTCCTTGGCCGAAGGCTCCAAAACTCACGGGATAGCCTTCTCTGGCATAAGAAGCTACTGGGAGAAAACGGCGAAAAACATGAGCCTTCGGCATTATCAAGCCCTCGGTATCAGGGAAGCCTTCGGCTGAACACAAGGCCTTCGACTACACAGGGGTCCTTGGTCACGTGGAGCCCTCGGCTACACAAGGAGCCTTCGGCCGAACATGCTCAAACATCGAAGATTCCTTTTGGAGACATCCAACCACCGCATTTAATGCCACGTCACATCCGCCAACCGCATTCAATGCGGTGAACGTACCACTGCCGGTGCCACCCGACTGATGTGACCCCTCGGCCGTCGGATTACTGACACGTGTACTCTCATCACATTTATTGCTGCTATAAATAGCAGCCCATTTCTCCTCGTAAACGATCCAGATCCCAACTTTCACACGCTGAGTTCATTTAATAAAATCGACTCTCTCTCCTCCTATTTACTCTGACTTCTCTCTAGTTATTCCCGCAATAACCCCTCGGATAGGATACCCCCCGGGTAGACTATCCGTCATTTGGTGCTCTCATTGAGAGGTCTGAACAAATCAAGTAAGAAACCATCCCCCTCTACCAAACACAAAACACCTACCAAAAATGGGAAAAACTCGTGCTCAGTCCAAAACCCTCGAGGAGAACCACGTAGCCCCCGGCGAAACCAACGGGGCTGAGGCCTCCAATAGGCTCTTAGTACCCGAGGGTGGTATCATCCTCGAATTAGAGCAAGCCACCGCTGACCTACGTCAACAGCTGCAGAAGAATGCCCCTGATGCCCGCATTGGCCTTGATAATCGAAGGAGGGATCGGAGTGAGAACCAAGTTCCCCCTCCGGCCCCGGCCATCGATCTTCAAGCTGCCTTTGCGGCCTTTGTTCAAAACATGGCTCTCAATTCCGGAGCCCTCGTCTCTCAAGCACCCCTTCAGCCCTATGCTGGAGGAAACGTTATCCAACTGCCACCACTCCCTCCTTTGTTCAACAATCCTCCCCCGGGGATTGGCAACACCGAGGGGGTCATGGCGCAGGATACCTCCTCCCAAGAGGCCCAATCCAGGGATAAGCGTCCCATGATGAAGGAGAAACCCCGAACCTCTGCACTTGAGAGGTTGGGGGGAGTTCCCGGGCGCCGAGGGGTCCAAGACCGCCTCGGCAAGCAGGAGTTCAGCAGGCCCCAGGAGAGTGGAGCCTCCGCTTCGGGAGCCGAGGGCATGCCTCCACCCCGGAGCAAAGGCAAAGCCCTCCTCCATGCCGATGATGCCAGGCACCAAATCAATCAAGCGCAGTCCTTCCGGGCCAACTCCCAAGGGGTTGCCCCGAAGGATCCCAAGGACGAAATCATCGAAGCCCTCCTCCGTCAACTTGAGGAAAATCGTCAGGCACCCCCGACAGCTTCCACGGCAAGGCCAGATCCGGAGTACGCTGACCTCCGGGCGCAAGTGGAAGAAATGAAGCGTAAACTTCCCGAAGGCTCCGGCGAGCCCCTCATTCAACTCCGCACTAGGACGCCTTTCACCCCAAGGGTGCTGGCGGCCAAAATCCCTCATAAGTATCGGGGGCAACCTATCAAGCCGTATGAGGGGAAGACGGATCCCCAAGAACACTATAGCCTTTATCAAAATAGCATGATGATGATGGGGGCCTCGGATGAATACTTATGCCGTTGGTTCCTTTCCACCTTGGAGGGACCAGCGTATGAGTGGTTCAACCGGTTGCCCGAAGGCAGCATCGATTCCTGGCAGGAACTTGCCCACCGCTTCCTCACACAATTCGCTGGGAGGTATCGCTCAAAGAAACACTTCTCCCACCTTCTGAACGTGAGGCAGCAGAAGGAGGAAACCCTCCGGAGTTTCCTGGAACGCTGGAGGCAGGCCTCCCTTGAGGTCGAGGGCGCCGATGACAGGACCTTGATGGCCCTCTTCCACACCGTCCTCCGCAACGGCAATTTCTCCAGGAGCCTCATCACTGATCCCCCTCGTGATTACACAAAAGCCCTCCAGCGA